GGAAATCAGATTGATATTACATAAGGAGGTAAAGAAAACAATGTCTGGGATGTAGGAGATCCCTTAGGACATTTCTCAGTACTACCCTGCCCTGTGATTAAAGTCACTGGAAAACTATAGCAACCCAATTCCAACATGACTGCTAATGACCCAGACCCTTCAGGAATGAAGGTTTGGGTCATGCCACCAGACAAAGAACCACCACCAGCTGAGGTGCTTGCTGATAGCAAATGGAATACAGGATGGTTGGTGGAAGAAAGTAATTCTAAATACCAGTTATGACCATGTGACCAGCTGCAGAAATGAGGACTGTAATTGTTATGAGTATTCCTTCCTTGTATGTGTGCATCAAATATTTTTGTTTTCTTCACTTATAAAATATAAGGTATAAATGGAGTTAGTGTGTTTTCAGTTGTACGTGTGTTAGTTGTATCATGTTAAGCACAAATATGACTTCGTAATTTCTTTATTCAGAGATTGTATATGGTTTAAGAAGAGGCGTACAGGCGCCAGTTGACAAGGAGTGGACTCTAATGGTTAAGTCTGTCAACTTGGCTGGGCCACGATTCTCAGCGGTTTGGCAGTTATGTAATGATGTAATTATCCTCTGTTTTTGTGATATAATGTAATCACCTACATGATGTGATCTGATGTGATCAGCCAATCAGTTGTAAGGGGAGTTTTGTCAGGGTTTGGCCTTCATCCAATATATATGGACGTTCTCGCAAAGCTTTCTGGCTTTTGCTTGCTCTGGATCCTGCATCTGGCTTGTCATCTTATGACTTCCAGCCTTGGGATTTGAGCCAGCAGCCTGCCGTATTGCCTGCCTATCTTGAGATTCATCAGACCCTGCAGCCTGTGAGCCAGCAGCTTGCCGCCTGACCTGCTGATCGTGGGATTGTCAGCCCCTGCAGCTATGTGAGTCAGGAGAAGCCTCCAGCTTGACGCCTGACCCATGGACTTTGGACTTGCCAGCCTCTACAGCTGTGTGGGCCATTTCCCTGAGATAAATCTCTCTCTCTGAATATGTATATATATGCTTCACTGGTTTTGTTTCTCCAGAGAACCCAGCCTAAAACACAGGTGAATGACTGACAGGTGAATAATTAACAGGAGAATGGCTGACAGTTGAATGGATGATGGATGAATGACTGATGGGTTGACGGGTGAATGGCTGACAGGTGAATGACTGACAGGTCAATAATTGACAGGCGGATGGCTGACAGGTGAATGACAAACCCTGGGCTGATTAATTGCCTAAAAGCTGACAGGTGATAAATTGGCCAATGACTGTGAAGCTTTGGATTGAGGGACACCTGCCTCTGCCTCCTGCTTCTGACACCCTCCTCCCCATGTCCTCCTGCCCTCAGTTCAGCAATGTCACTTTCTTCATCTTCGGGCCTCTCATGATGTTCCTGATGCACCCCTATACCCAGAAACGCTCCCCCTACATCCATAGTGTCTGGATCCTCTTCATGGTCACAGGTAGGTGGGGGCTGTGACAGTGGGCAGTGGGGGTGGGGCGGGTGGCACCCTGACGCCCGCCCATGCTTCCGCTGCAGGCCTGTTCTCCATGTACTTCCACATGACCCTCAGCTTCCTGGGTCAGCTGCTGGACGAGATCGCCATCCTGTGGCTGCTGGCCAGTGGCTACAGTATCTGGATGCCCCGCTGCTACTTCCCTGCCTTTCTCGGGGAGAACAGGTGTGGTGGGGGCTGGCCATCTGGACAGATGGGGCTGAGCACTCTGTAGACCCTGCCTGAGCCCACCTGGGCCCCTCAGGTTCCCTTTCTTGAACACTCTTAGGACCCCTGGCCTTCTTCCCCTGAGCCTACCTGGGACCTTATGCCTAAGTTCACCTTGGTCCCCAGGTCCTCTCCCCAGAATGCACTTGGACCCCTGGACTTCTCCCTCCTAGCCCACCTGGGTAGACTGGAACCTTCTCCAGACTGTCTGAGCCCACTTGGGAGTTTTGGGACCCCATGCCTAAGTTTACCTGAGCCCCAGCTGCCACCTGGGCTGCCTTGAATCTTTCATCTGATCCTCCTGGTCCCCTGGGCTCCTCTCTTGACCTGACTAAGCCCCCCAGGCCCCCTGAGCCTCTCTCCTGACCCTGCCTGGGTCCTCAGGACCCACTCTGCACAACCACTTGGCTCCTTGGAAGCCCTCCCTCCCCTGAGTCCATCTCGGTAGTGGGACCCTCTCCTGACACTGTCTGACCCACCTGGGCCTTCCAGGACGCTCCCCTTGATCCCCCTGGGATGCCTGCAATTCTTCGTCAATCCTTCCTGGGTCTCCAGGAACCCTCCTCTGACATCCCCTGGGCCCAAGTTTCCTCCTCTGAGCTTCCCTGACGCCCTCCAATCTTCCCTGGGCCCAAGGTCCCTCCTCTGAGCTCCCTGACACCCCTCAACCTTCCCTGGGACCAACGTTCCCCCTCGGAGCTCCCCTGGGTTCTCCTGAGTCCCCTACCTGACCTCACCTGGCTCTCTGGGACCCTTCACTGACTCTCCTGGGACCCTCTCCTGACTAAGCCCCCCATATGCCCCCTTCTGACCCTACCTGGGCCCCACTGGGCCACTTGGTACCTTCACCTGATCCTCCTGGGCCCACCAGGACCCTCTCCTGGCCTATCTGGAAACCTGTACACCCTTTTTATGAGCCCAGTCAAGCTCCCCAGAATCCCTGCCGTTTTCTCATCCACTTCTGCCACTAGGTCTCCATCAGACCCTCCTAACCCCCCAGGAATTCCTCCCTGCCCCTGGCTGAGCCCCCCTCCCCCCAGGCAATGGTGTCACTTGGGGGGTGGGGCTCAGGGGGTGTGGACCTCACTGGGTGACAGTGTCAGAGGGGGTGACACCAAAATGACTGTAAAAATATCCTCGTAGTTATAACAACAAAAACATTTTTTGTAAGCCCAGCTTGTATGTATCGATATACCTACAAGACTAAAACTCTATGCTAATTTACTTTTTGAAACTTCTAATGCACCCCCTGGTCAGAGATGTCATTATTACCCAATTACAATGACGCTTGGAATCATGTGGTTTCATCCGCACGCACTACAAGCTCGCTCTATTGTTTTCTTTGCTGCTGGTGTTTTTATAGTCACTGATTCTGTCAAATTTTCTGGTGTTTTAGCTACAATATTGTGGTAAACAGTATTTGTGAACCTACCTCAATAACTTTTTTGAAAATGAAGTAGTAATTAAAGGAAAAGAAGGAGTGCTATATGGGAATTATGATTTACGAGGAACATTGGTACAAAAGAACATTACTAAGGATTCTGTATGGTCTGGTACGGGAGGAGGTCCATGGGGGGGTGACACCATGAGTTACTGCACTGGGTGACACCAACTCTAATGACGCCACTGCACCCAGGTTCCAGTTCGCCTGCCTGGTCATCATCACCACTGTGATCAGCACCTTCCTGTCCTTCCTGCAGCCCACCATCAACGCCTACGCCCTCAACAGCATCGCCATACACATCCTCTACCTCATGATCCGAGAGTACAAGAAGTGAGTGGGGCCCAGGTATGGGGTGGGGGTAGGGGCTCACAGCCTCACCTACAGCACCTACCCACTCCCCCTCCTCGGCATTTGCTGAGTTCTGGTGGACTCCTCATGGTGTCCCTGGCAGGGGTTCCTGTCATCACCTCCACTTCAGGGACTCAGCAAGCAGAAGTCTTTTCCCCAAGATAGTCCCAGAAGGGTCTTAAAAGCTAGTGAGTGGCCATCTAAGATACTTCACTGGTCTCACCCCTTCTGGAGTAAGGGAGAATGAAGAAAACTAAAAACACAAGGGAAAGATTAGTCCAAAGGGCTAATGGACCACAACTACCACAGCTTCCACCAGACTGAGTCCAGTACAACTAGATGGTGCCTGGCTACCACCACTGATTGCTCTGACAGGGATCACAACAGAGGGTCACAGACAGAGCTGGAGAAAAATGTAGAACAAAATTCTAACTCACAAAATGAGACCAGACTCACTGGCCTGACAGAGACTGGAGAAACCCTGAGAGCATGGCCCCCAGACACCCTTGTAGCTCATTAATGAAGTCATTCCTGAGGTTCACCCATCAGCCAAAGATTAGACAGCCCCATAAAACAAAATGAGACTAAAGGGGCACACCAGCCCACGGGCAAGGACGAAAAGGCAGGAGGGGACAGGAAAGCTGGTGAAAGGGAACCGAAGGTCAAGAAGGAAGAGGGTTGACATATCATGAGTTTGGTAACCAATGTCATAAAACAATATGTGTACTGTTTAATGAGAAGCTAGTTTGTTCTGTAAACCTTCATCTAAAGTACAATAAAGAAAAAAAAAAAATAGTCCCAGAAGGAGGGGCAGTGCCAGCACTTGAACCCAAAGGAGCCCTGGTGGTACAATGGTTAAGCACCCAGCTGCTAACCAAAAGGTTGGCAGTTCAAACCCACCCAGCTGCTCCCAGAAAGATTGTTGTTGTTAGGTGCCATCGAGTCGTTCCTAACTCAGCGACCCTCTGTACTAGAGAACAAATACTACCCGGTCATGCCCCATCCTCACAATCACTGTTACATTTGAGTCCATTGTTGCAGCCACTGTGTCAATCCATCTTGTTGAGGGTCTTCCTCTTGCTGTCCCTCTACTTTACCAAGCATGATGTCCTTCTCCAGGGACTGGTCCCTCCTGATATCATGTCCAAAGTACACGAGACAGAGTCTTGCCATCCTCACATCTAAGGAGCATTCTGACTGTACTTCTTCCAAGACAGACTTTTTCATCCTTCTGGCAAGATTCCAAAAAGACTATAAGCTAGGAAACTATGGGGCAATTCTACTGTCACACGGGGTCACTATGAGTCAGAATCGGCTCCACGGCACCCATCAACCACAACTGTCTGACTACAGAGCCTGTTCTTTTTGTTATGGAAATCCCCAAAAGTATATTAAAAAAACAACAAACCAAACCAGTGGCTGTGGAGTTGATTTCGGCTCACAGCGACCCCAAGTGTGTCAGAGTAGAACTGTGCTCCATAGGGTTTTCAATGGCTGATTTTTTGAAAGTCAATTGCCAAGTACCTCTGGGTGGAGTTGAACCTCCAACCTTTCAGTTAGCAGCTGAGTGTGTGAACCGTTTGCAATACCAAGGGACTCCGCTCTGCCACCGACCAGCTGAATAACCTTGGGGTGAAGGGTTGGGGCGTAATTTAATTGGTGTGCCTCAGTTTCCTCATCTATAAATCGGAAATAATAGTGTTGTGAGGATTGAGTTAATACCTGAAAAACTTTAGAATTGTGCCTGGCATCCTGTAATTGCTCAGCAAGTATCCGCTCTCAGCACAGATCAGGCACCATCTGCCTGCACCCTTGATCCCTGCTCCTTCCCGCCTCCCAGCCTGAGGCCACCTCTCCCTGGCTGGGGAGTTTCCCGTCAGCCCCTTCAGGCTCTGCTCTCTGATCTCCCTTCCTCCCTCCCCCCCCGCCATGGTCTTAGGTGCCCCCGAGTGGATTTTCGACTCATAGCGACCCCACGTGACAGGGCAAAAGTGCCCCATAGGGTTGTCTAGGTCTTTATGGGAGGAGCCCCGGGGGTGCTGTGATTAAAGCAGTCGGCAGCTAACCAAAAAGTTGGCAGTTTGAACCCACCAGCCACTCCACGGGAGAAAGATGTGGCAGTCTGCTTCTGTAAAGACTACAGCCTTGGGCCAGTACTAGGGAACCCAAGATTGAGAAGGAACAGTGACGATGTGTCATGGGTTTGTTAACCATTGTCATAAAACAATATGTGTACTAACTGTTTAATGACAAACTATTTGTTCTGGAAACCTTCATTTAAAGTACAATTTAAAGAAAGAATAATACTTCTAATTAAAAAAAAAAAAAAAAGACACAGCCTTGGAAACCCCATGGGGCAGTTCTACTCTGTCCTGCAGGGTCTCTAGGAGTCGGAATTGATTTGACGGCAATGGGCTTGGTTTGGTTAATCTTTATGGGAGCATATCACCAGATCTTTCTCCTGAGGAGCTGCTAGATGGGTCCAAACTGCCAGCTTTTTGGTTGGCAGCCAAGGGCTTAACTGTCACACGACCAGGGTTCCTTTCTTTCTTCCCTAGGACCAGCAATGAGGAGCTTCGGCATATCATTCATGTCTCCGTGGTCCTGTGGGCTGTTGCCCTGGCCAGCTGGATCGGCGACCAATTCCTTTGCAGTTTCTGGCAGCGGATTAATTTCTTCTACCTACACAGCATCTGGTAAGTGCCCGCCCAATGACCTGGGGTCCCAGAGCCAGGAATCTCAGATCCCAGAGCTAGGAGCAGGAGCCTGGGAGGCAGAGGGGGAGCCACAGTACCAGTACTTAGGGGGCCCGTTGCAGTCGGGATCTTCTGGGATGGCCAGGATCCCTGGGAGTAAGGGGAGGGCCAGGGTGGGGCTGGGGGCATCTTGCCAGGTACAGGGGCATCTCACGCCCTCACCACCTCTCCCTGTGTCTTACTCACGGTTCTCTAGAGAAACAGAACCAGTGAGACGTGTATATATACAGTAAAACCTTTGAAAGCCAGAACTTGTGTAAGGTGGAACCTGTCAGAGAAGGAAAATGCAAATATTTTCACTAAAATGAGCAATAGAAAAGTGGTAAGAGTACAAAGGCAGAAAACTTGTGAGACCAGGAAAAACAAGGCAGTCCTGTTGAGTTCCGGCTCTCACAGATTTCACCGTTCACTGTATGGATGTGTGTGTGTATACATATACATATATATACCATTGCCGTCGAGTTGATTCCAACTCATAGCGACCCTATAGGACAGATTAGAACTGTCCCATAGAGTTTCCAAGGAGCACCTGATGGATTCGAACTGCTGACCTTTCGGTTAGCAGCCGTAGCACTTAACCACTACACCACCAGGGTTTCCTATATATGTATACACACGTACATATATATATGAAGATGCACGTATATTATGTATATTACAATATATGCGGTGGTTATTGTTAGTTGCTGTCGAGTTGATTCCGACTCGTGGCAAACCCGTGTGTGCAGAGTAGAATTGTGCTCCATAGGGTTTTCAAGGCTGTGACCTTTCAGAAGCAGATCACCAGGCCTTTCTTCCAAGGTGCCTCGGGCAGGTTTGAACTGCCAATCTTTTGGCTAGTAGTTGAGCTCTTAACCAATTGTGCTACCAGGGATTCAAAAAATACATGTATATATATATATGTATATATAGACAGAGAGAGAGAGAGAGATTTACTTCAAGAGATTGGCTCACACAACTGTAGGGGCTGGCAAGTCCAAAATCTGTAGGTCAGGTGACAGGATGGAGACTTCTGCAGGCTTGTGTCCCAAGATCTGTAGTTCAGGTGACAGGAAAAGTGCAGAGTCGAGAGAGAGAGAAGGGCCCCTCTGGTTGGACTCAAACCTCCAACCTTTCAATCAGCAGCTGAGAGTGTTAACTGTTTGCAACACCCAGGGACTCTGCTCTGCCACCTACCAGCTATATAACCTTGGAGAGAGAGAGAGAGAGAAAGAGGAGAGAATTCTGCCAAAATAACTAATGCCACACTCTAAGGAACTCCTCTTTCAACTGATTGATTAATTAGATTACATTACATTATGGAAAGTGATGCCATTACATTGCATTGGGTTGCATTATGGAACAGCACCTAGTCTATTGTTTGACCAAACCACTGGGAACCATAGCCCAGCCAAGTTGACACAGAGAATTAACTATCACACCCCGTATCCCACAGGCATGTGCTCATCAGCATCACCTTCCCTTACGTCGTGGTGGCCATGGCCTTGCTGGACGCCAGCTATGAGATGCCAGGCCAGACCCTCAAAGTTCACTACTGGCCTCGGGACACTTGGCCAGTGGGGCTGCCCTATGTGGAAGTCAGGAGTGACGGTAAGAACTGCTGAGGTCTGCCCACCTCTGCCCACCCAGCCACCGTCCACACGCCTGAGTCTTGAGGAGAAAGATTTGGATCAGCATTTCAGTTTGAGAGACATACATGGTTCCTTCTTCCAGTTCCCTTCCCCCCTCCTCCTTGGCCTACTGCCCCAACCCAAGGAAGGATATGGACTTCCTGACCTCTCTGGAGCAGCATCCTGATGACCCTGGGGGATTGGCTGTCATATCTTCCCTCCATGATGCAACCTTGTCCTCTTTTGATTTCCTGCTCTGTGCCTACTATTTCCTCATGGCCTATGTCACAAGACCTGGCCATGACCTGGCATTTGCAAGGAATGATCCCAAGCTAGGACTTCATTGCTGGGCATCTTATAAATATTGGAACAATGGGCTCAAGCATAACAACGATTGTGAGGATGGCGCAGGACCGGGCAGTGTTCCATTCTGTTGTACATAGTGTCACTATGAGTCAGAACCGACTCTACAGCACCTAACAACAACGACAACACCAGACTTCTTGGACCTGTCTTTGACCATGGCAGTGTCCCTGGTATTTGAGGACCAAGTTAGAGAATGGGTATGTCTTCAAGTCACTTCATTCTACACCCTCACTTGCGTGCAAATACCTTCCAGACCCTCCTGTGTGCTTGCACGCACACGCCCATGGACTCGTAAGGGTCCCCATCGCTGGTTGACAGCTGAGAAAATGGAGTCCCTGACAAGGTGCTCCAGGTACTGTGGGAGCGTAGGGAATCAGGAGAGGGGGTTTCAGAAGAGCGAGAGGGCTTCCATGGTGGTTAAGAGCACAGAGCTTGGAGCTGGGCGGTCCAAAGCTTGAATGTCTGTGCCACCATTTTCTAGTTGTATAATCTTGGGAAAGTGATTTTCCCTAGCTCTGAAGCTCAAACACCTGGTCTGCAAAATGGAAATGATATTTCTTCCCTCATGAGGTTTCCGTGTGGATAAAACAAGATGATGTATGTAAAGTGCTTAGCATAAAGCCTGGTAGACATCCATCCATCCATCCATCCATCCATTAATCCATCCATCCATCCATCCATCCATCCATCCATCCATCCATCCATCCATCCATCAATCCATCCATCCTTTAGTTTATTCATCCATTAATATATCTATCATTCACCCATCTATTTATCTACCATTAATTTATCCATCCATCCATTCATATACAGAACTTTTCATTGAACCATACATTTATTGAACCATCCAGCCTTTAATTTAGTCATCTATTAATTTATCCATCCATTCGTCCATCAGTTCTTTCATCTATTATCCATCATTTTTTCATCCAGTCGTTCATTCATTAATGTACCCATCCATCCACTGAATCATGCATTGAGCCATCCATCCATCCATTGAGCCACCCTTCCATGAATCTCTATCTAGCCATCCATTTATCTCTTCAGTATTCAGATTTGAACCAAATTGTTCAATCATCTTGTATTAATCTATTTTTCTACTCATTTATTCATCTCCTCAACAAGTATGTATTGAGGTCCTACTATATATATATGGTAGACACTAGCCCCTGGTGATACAAAGCAACAAAGACATTCTAAGTCTCTGCGCTAGTGAAGGAGACAGATGTTAAACAAATACAAAGAAACATGAGCAAGATACTTCCAGGCACTGATGAGTGCTACAAAAAAGATAATGCAGGGTGACGTTCTAGAAAATGATGGGGTGGGAAAGCAGCCCTCTCAAATGGATGATCAGGAGTGGACTTTAGAGCTGATCCCTCAATGACAAAAGGAAACCAGTCATGCAAAGAGCAGGTCAGGGTGGGAGGAGACCATCTGGGCAGAGGGAACTGCAGATTGAACTCCCTGCCCTTGGGATGTGAATGACCTTGCAAGTCATTGCTGGGGCTTAGTAGATAAGGAGGAGCACATAGTAAAGAGTTCACAATCTGAGGACTCTGGCTAGGTTTCAGCGTCCGTGAAGCCCTTGACACTGTCTGCCAAAGATGGGTGGCTGGGCATGTTAGCCAGGCCCCTGGAGTGCATCACTCCAAAAGAAGTAGAAGCAAGCCAATGTGGTGCCCTAGAGAGATGGGGAATCTAAGAGGGGAGGGGCTGCTCACATTTACCAAATGGCGACTGTGTGCTGTACACCCAAGCCATACATTATTGAATCAAATCCCCTCACAGACAGTCAAGGTATTCTTCATGGATAAATTAGTGGATGAGTAAAGTAAAGGATGAATGGTTCAATAAATGGACGGTTCAGTGAAGAGTTGGATGGATGGATGGATAAATTAATGGTGGATGGATAGATGGATGGATGGTGTCTTAGTTATTTAGTGCTGCTATAACAGAAATACCACAAGTGGATGGCTTGAACAAAGAGAAATTTTTTCTCTCACAATCTAGTAGGCTACAAGTCCAAATTCAGGACATCAGCTCCAGGGGAAAGCGTTTTCTGTCTGTCGGCTCTGGAGGAAGGTCCTTGTCATCAATCTTCCCCGGTTGAGGAGCTTCTCAGGTGCAGGCACCCTGGGTCCAAAAGACATGCTCTGCTCCTTGTGCTGCTTTCTTGGTGGTATGAGGTCCCCCAATTTCTGCTCGCTTCCCTTTCCTTTTATTTCTTGTAAGATAAAAGGTAGTGCAGGTCACACCCCAGGGAAATTCCCTTTACATTGGATCAGGGATGTGACCTTAGTAACGGTGTTACAATTTCAGCCTATTCCTCTTTAACGTAATCCAATCTTGCCTCATTGACCACAGGCAGAGATTAAGATTTACAACACACTGGAAAATTAAGACAATCACAAAATGGAGGACAACCACACAATACTGGGAATCATGGCTTAACCAAGTTGACACATATTTTTGGGGACACAATTCAATCCATGACAGAGGGATAGATAAATTAATGGATGGATAAACGAAAGGATGGATGGATGGATGGATTAATGGAATGGATGGATTCCTTGTATAGATGTGGCTCAGAGAGGGCAAGCAGCTTGCCAAAGGACACACAGCCTGGACTTGAACCCAGGTTTACCCTCCCCAAAGCTCCTTGCACCACAGTGAATCAGCAGGAGAATTGGACCTGGACTCCTGGTCTGCTTCCCAGTTATTCTGACTTTCTTGTTCTAGAAATCAGAGGTTCTTCACCTGTGACCACCCAGGATGGATTGAGATGGCAGGAGGGGCAGAGGAGGGAGGGAGTTTCCGGGAATTTGTAAAACTGTGTGCAAAATGTCACGTGTCTTGGTTTTGGAGGGGTGTGGAGCTGTGTTCTACGAGATTCCCTAATGTTCAAAAATTTCCAGGAGTGAGACAGGAGCATCTGCCTCCTGACACCCATGCTCTGTCCCCCTCTTTGCTGGCTTATGTGGCCATGGTGTGAAATCACCTAAAAAAATTACTAAAACCAGTTGCTGTTGAGTCGACTCCGACTCATGGCGGCCCCATGTGTGTCAGAGGAGAACTGTGCTCCAGAGAGTTTTCAGTGGCTTAGTTTTCAGAAGTATATTACCAAGACTTTCTTCTAAGTTACCTCTAGGTAGACTTGAACCTTCAACCTTTTGGTTATCAGCTGAGTATGTTAACCATTTGCACCACCCAGGGACTCTGTTGTTGTTAGTTGCCATTGAGTCAATTCTGACTCATGGTGACCCCAAGTGTGCAGAGTAGAACTGCCCCATAGAGTTCTCAAGGCTGTGACCTTTCAGAAGCAGATTGTCTTGTCTGACTTCTGAGGCATCTCTGGGTGGATTTAAACTTCCAATCAGGGACTCTACCTGTCTCTAAACACATGGCGACAATTTGTCCCTAGCATCTGTGCCCTGGCCCCTGCTGATCCCTCCTCACAAATTCCTCTTGGGGCATGGACACAGCTGGGGAGCAAGAGGACTAGGTACTTGTTTATGCTGTGCTTCTAACTAGCTGTGCGACCTTGGAAAGTCTCAGTCTCCATCAGAGAGGCCTTTTGATGGCAAAGAACAGAGCATTCAGCTCCAACTGGCTGAAACAATATAAAGACAATCAGCATATGTACTTCCAGAGTTAAGGGTCAGGCTGCAGGCATGGCTGGATCAAGCTTCAGATGTGAACAGGGCCAGGCTCTCTCCATTGCTCTGGACTGCCTTGCAATGGAAGTGGTCACCAGCAACTCTAGGCTCACATTCTTCGAAGTTGAAAAGTGAACTCAAAAGCTCCAAGAGCACGTGAAAAGATGCTCAATGTCATTAATCATTAAAAAAAGCAACAACAAAAAACAAAACCCAAATCTTTTTCCATCAAGTCGATTCTGACTCAGCAACCCTGTAATCATTAAAAAAACAAAACCAAACCTGTTGGCATCAAGTCGGTTCTGACTCATAGCGATCTTATAGAACAGAGTAGACCTGCCCCATAACATTTCCAAGGAGCAGCTGGTGGATTCAAACTGCTGACCTTTTGGTTAGCAGCCAAACTCTTAACCACTGTGCCACCAGGGCTCCCCTATAATCATTAGGGAAATGCAAATCAAAACCATAATAAAATACCACTTCATACCCACTAAATTGGCAATAATAATAATAATAAAGAAAATAACAAGCATTTAGGAGCATGTGGAGAAAATTAGAGCCCTGATCCACTGCTGGAGGGAATGTAAAATGGTGCAGCTGCTGGGGAAAACAGCCTGGCAGTTCAAAAATGTAAACATAGAACTACCATCTGACCCAGCAATTTCACTCCTAGGTATATACTCAAAAGAATTGAAAGCAGGGACTCAAACAGATAATTGCACACTGGTGTTCATTGCAGCGCTATTCACAATAGCCAAAAGGTGGAAACAATCCAAGTGTCCATCAACAGATGAATGGCTAAACACGATGTGGTATATAGACACAATGGAATATTACTCAGCCATAAAGGGAAGTGACGTTCTGATGCATGCCATGACATGGAGGAAACTTGGAAACATTACGCTAAATGAAAGAAGACAGACACACAAGGCTGCGTATTGTATAAACAAAATGGGATGTATCCATACA